GAGAGATATGCAATACAAGAAAAAAGCTGATAAAGTAAAGGGATCGTAAGGTTCTGTTTTATTTGGACTGCAGAATAAATATATTGTACAGCAAAATGGCATCACTTCATGTTGGAAATTGTTGCTAAGGCAACTCAATCAATTTTATTTTCGAATATTTTAGATGTACACATATCAGTAGTAAAATTATTTTAAGTGCTGAAATAATTATTGAAAATCAAATTTAATAAACCGGGTACCCATTAAAATAATGACACGATGATTTTTAGTATGAAAATTTGAATATCGTTTGTGAATTGTTTACTCAGAGACACATAAGATTTATTAGAGCTAGCAATTAAGACTTGTTAATAATAAGAACTTTATATACAAAATAATAAGTAAAATACATAATGTTTTCAATTTTTCGTTAGTTTATAGCCTCCGCTCTATCTACTAGCAAGGAACAAAAAATTATTTTTTGGGCTTTAAATTCACTCCACATTTAGCAGATAATAAAATACCTACGGTTGCGGACGCCTACCTGCTATGGTTGTGAATAGTCCGGATGGCTCTTTCGTAATCCCTGGTAAGATATTATTTCAATGTTTATACTTTAAGGTGAATTTCTTGCTATCAAGGATGAAAATACAGATGAAGGAAAGTTCACTCATGTCAGTTCGGGTAAAATTCTTGCCGCCGTTGCTGGTCGTGTGAAAGTTAATAAAGATAGCTCACATGTAAATAAATACATTATAATTTTTATATTTTTGCTAGACAAAAGTATCAGTTGTTCCATTTCATGAACCATGTCCAACACCTGATATTGATTCAATTGTCCTTGCTAAGGTAATGTATTTGAGCGTCCTCTTAGTGATTGTTTTAGATTTCGTCCATCACTCGTCGTTTCGCTAGATGTGAAATAGTTGCAATTGACAATCGAGTTCTTGCAGGTCCTTTTCGGGGAATGATTAAACGGGAGGACATCCGAGAAACTCAGAAGGATCGTGCTGAACCATCCCTCTCCTTCAGGCCAGGGGATTTAGTTCGAGCGAAAGTGGTAAACATCATTGGTTCCAGCTCTGGTTCATACATCTCCTCATGCCTTCCCGCTGCTGAAGAGTGTTCTCCAGTTGTTGGGACCATTGTTGCAGCTGCTCGGACAGTTGCGGGTGCTGTCAAGCCATCTCCAGCTCATGCTGTATGCGGCTCCAGTTCAGCAACCACGACCTATCTTCTTTCAACTGCCCAACCAGAACTCGGCGTCGTAGTTGGCTTTGGACGGCCGTCTCTAAGTGGATTGACAGAAGTCCTTGGTGCCACTAGTGGCTGCCCGCTTCTACCTGCTTCTTGGACAGAAATGGTTTGCCCAAGGACTCTGTCTCGATTCCCGAGAAAGGTGGCTCGAGTTCCAGATGAACTTACAAATATTTTGTATTCGAGTGCTTTGCAAGGCATAGGTACCTCTGAGTGAGGGTTATATGCATTGTGTAAAAATAAGATGTGTCGCTTTGTTATGTAAATAAAGATTACAACTTGACAAACGGTAGGCGTTTCGATAGTTATCATTAGCCCTTTAGTTGACTTCGGGCTTCACAGAGGGGAGGAGGAACATCAAAGTGAGAAAAATTCGAGAGGGAAACGGAAGAGTGATTTACAGATGTAGAAGAGAGTGAGACAGATACAAAGGTAGTGAAAAAGGAGAGGTGAGTACTGTGGAAGTGGTAGAATATGAAATACAGTGGGGTCATAGTAGTTTGAAATCAGATGTCAACTGCCGGTTAAGAGACTTTTATTGCCGTATGAGTATACGTTGCCCAGGGAACACCACGTGTAGGTAAGTCTATCGCATACACCTAGCTAAAACATTTTACAAATAACACAAGATGTAGGTTGTAATAATGTTGTTAATCAAAAGTTGTGAGCTTCATAAAATATATATTAAATTCCATATAATATTTTCAATAAATAACATGTTTACCTTCATGTCTGTTATTTATATTTGTGTCTGAAGTCAGTTGTCAAAATGATTCCACTGTTTTTTGAATAATTTATATTTGGATTGTCATATTTACAAACAAATATCGTATTATTTCAATAAAATTTGTTAATAAAATTGGGATATATAAAATAAAAATTTGTATTCACGTAAATTTTATCGCATACAAATTACTCAATTAATTCATGCTACTATCTTATTAGGTAAATATAATTGAAGTTAGTTTGGTCTGTTCTGTCAATATTGGCTAAATTGGCATCTCACGATCAATTTTATTGGGAAATTATGACACTTCACATTTGACGTTATTTGCACTTGATAGCGATTTGGCTTCCTTCGCTGGATAAAACCAAGTGACGTAGATGGTTAAATATAATCTAATTGCAAAAAACATAAGAACTGCATTTAAGAAAAAAATATGTTTTGTTTTTCATGTGTCAGAAAGGAATGCCATCCTATTCTATCTCCAGCCTACAGCGTCTGCCTCTTGCATGGATAGTATTCTGTCTGTTGTATTTAAAAGTTAAATTCAAGGAAATTCTAATATAAACATCGTTTTGTCATTTCTGTCGACTATTTGGACAAATGACAGAAAGATGTATTTGTTAATCCCTTATCAGTAACCAAATTTATTGCAATTTTGCCATTTTTTTCAAGTTTTTGGGAAGATAAATGGACGAATTGGCAATCATTGAAAATATTTTTATTAAATCAGGCAGGAATTACGGAGATCTTTTACCCATTAATCATGATGTCCTCTTATAATTCTTACAAGCAAATATTCACACTAAGTAGAGGTTAAGGAATGGGAAGTCTTTGAATCAAACCTGAATCCTATGTTTACACACAGTAGCAAATTGATTGTTAACTTCATTCTTTTCTCTGTTTCAATT